GGGTAGATGGACAGGACCTTGATCTGGTACCCGGGTAACGCCGCCTAGAACATTTCAAGTTCTTTTAGGCCGTAAGGTCCTTCGGGGATGTTAGCCAAGCAATGGAGTTCTTTGGCCCATCGCTCTTGGACGGGGCATCCCTGTTTGAGATTGTGATAATCTTGATCTCGAGGATTGCCATTGGCGTCGGCCAAGGTTTTCGTGGTGACAATGGTGCGCGCGCAGTAGAGTTGCTCTTTGTTTTTGATGGTCACGCGCGACCATTTGACGATGCCCCGGACGGTGGCTTTCCTGGGTCGGTATCACTTGCCGTTCCCACTACAAGGACCGGGAGTCTGGATGAAGGTAGTTTCTATGGTGAAGGTGTCGTCCGGAGTGAATTCCTGGTTGGAGTTGAGTTTGGCTGCGAGAGACTAGAGATAAGTGTCTAGTCTTTGGCTGCCTTCTTGGAATTTGCACACGCTGAAGGTGGCGGATTGGAAGACGTGTGTGAAGGCACAGATTGGTAGAAAATATTTTACAAACCCTTTTTTTTGCGTATTTAAAATTCGTATCCCACCATATTCAATGTTACGTAAAACTGTCACTGAATAAAATCACAAATAAAGCCATAACAAACACGTGTGCGCAACATCATCACAAGAATGATTTTACATGATTCACCTGTCGTAACGCATTTTCCAGTTTGTCCATCCCTTACAACACATGACGCTTTCGTTCTTCATAGTCTTGATAATATCCACTAATACGCAGCCTGTTCTTGTCATTGCACTTCAGTCATAGACCGCCTAGGCCCCAGGCCTCTTGTACTTTTGAATAGAGGCTCATTTCTTTGTTTATTTTATTTACGATTTCTTTTCGTTGCTGCTCAACAGAAGGTTGACTTTCCGCAAACTTTATAATGTAGTCTTGAATTTCTAGCGGTAGCCAGTCCCAGTCACTCATCTGTTTTTATACCAATAGAAAAAAAGAATGGATATAAAAATTGGTGTGAGGAGAGGGAGGGTGACACAACGACTAGGGGAGGGACGAGATAATGCTGGTGACGAGCTGACGCCAGCCTAGAAGAGCTTGTGGTTTTGGCATAACGTGCAGTGAATTTGAGTGAACGGGCGGTTTTTTTTGAGCGGTGCAAAAACATTTATGGTTAAAGCACTCTTAGCGAAATGGCTGGGGCTGAAATTACTGGAAGAAAAACCCTTAGTTGACTGTGCAGGTGAGTTTTTTCGGCATGTTATTTTTTTCCTCCAACGAAAAGAGACCCAAGCGCTCGGTGTTCAATGGAAGTGAAAAGCTTCGCGCTTGCTCAAACAAACTACCCAGTAGGTTTTTTTTTCTTAATATACTTGCAGTTAACAAGAATGGAAGCTGGTCCATCATGTTGTTCTAAATATTGTATGGAGTAAAACTAAGCCGGTCTCAACGAACTAAGTGAGTTATTAGTGTTTTTTTTACCCTGGGTTGTTGGCCATTGTGACAGTGTGCACGCTTGAGAGAAAAAGTCCGTTTGTAGTTTTGACAGAAATTTATTGCTTTAACAGATTTTAGAACCTAAATGTAAAGGTTACTAAATCCCCTTCCATGGTTACATGGCATAGTAAATCCATGAAATTGAGTCCGAACCAATGCAGGCCGAGTTGTACAATTTCTTGAAATTTGGTATTGCTTCTTGAGATGGCTGCTGAATTCCTGCTCGCCCACGCTTCGACTCGTTGGCGTTTACTTCGTTCTAAATCCGAGGGTGAAAAAAAACCCCGGTAAAAATTCTGTTATTTAAAAGAAATGGTTAACTTCAATCGAGAATTCCACTGGCCTTACTTGGATCAACTCGGCTTTCATGCCCGGAACACGTTTGAATCGGCCCACCAGTAGACTTTGAATGTGAGTTGGTGTTAGTGTTTGTTTACAGCAAGGACACTTGATGGAATTCCCCAGCCAAATCCATTCTTCCAAGCAAATGTGTTTGTATGTTAGCTCGGCAGCAAGGTAATCGCTCCCCTTCACTTTCCAAACATACTGGACAGACTCCTGACTGAAAAACCCGAAAGAAAAAGAACGTTTGGTGAATTGACTGGTTTATTTGCCTTTACAGCTGGTCAGCGTAGCCAGTGGCGAAGATGTTGAGAAAACTGTAAGTAGCTCACTCATTTTTTTATATAAATATTGTTTTACTGGACCAGTCGTGGGAATTTTTGGGGCTTGCTCGTTTAATCCTTCATGGCGTATAATTATTTGGCTTTCGAACTCGTTAATTTGTTCGCGCAGAACCCACAGAGAACGATTCATTTCAAAATAATTGTTGTCTTTTATCGACTTAGTCTAGAACTCGTAAACTGATTAAAAAAAAATGTTTTTGGTGGATTCCGGTGACCTGAAAGAGTGGGGGAAAAATAAGCCATGGTGTGGCATCAGTGCCGGTCAAGAAAAAGTTTGGCTTTTTTTGTGACCTGTCGCTGCTCGCTGTTTAATAAATTTTTTCTTTAGCTCCATGTAGTCCTACCAAAGTTGTCCACCAAAAAAAAAACTACCCGATCAAGTTTTGTTGAGTGCAATAATTTTTTTTTGCCCTGATCCCCTGCTTGAGAAAAAATCTAACTCACTGATGTCAGCTTGGGGCGTTGTGGTAGTTTTGATCAGTCAACTGCTTTGCGGGGGAAAAAAAGCCCGTCGAGAGTCGGTGAATTTTTCTTACAAAAAATCTCTACTAGGTGCGGGGAGAGGGTTTAAGCATGAATCAAAAATGAACTTACTTGATCTTTGGCCGTGACCTGGTCATCCTATTCAACCAAAAGAAAAAAAGATCACCATTAATACGGCGCTGTTCTACAACTTTCGATGCGAGTTTGGTTATGTTCGGTTTTTTTGCAGACAGGGCATCGACTGATGTAACTCACCTTATTCAGCGAAGGGTCACTTTTTTTTTGCAGAGCTGAAAAAAACCCTGCCGATTCTTCTGTAAAAAAAATTTGTGAACTACCATACGCACCATCACTAGATTTCAAAAAGTTTGAACGTGTCAGATTTTTTTGAAAAACGCCATCGATCCACAATATTTACAAATAACTACACGCCATTTATGCATGGGGTCTCCCTGAAAAAAAACGAACCACACTCAATTTTTTTACTCATCCTGCTCATTTTATTAAACAAAAACCCGAAGGCGTTATTTACAACATCACAGCCAGAGCCAAAAAAAGCCCATTTTGAAATGGCACTTGAAGGGTTTTTTGTGC